AAATTTGTTTCGTACCTATCAGCTGCTTTGATTTGTGCGGGTAGCCATATTTGTCGCTTTATTTAAACTATTCCTCCACCTAGGGATGTCTAACTTCCTGTGCATAACCATCATAGGTCTAGCAATATAATCTCACACTTTCATTTATTTCCACCCAGTCCTCAATGTTTTATGTTACATTATCCATCTCGTCCCTAAGTTTTGCACACCAGTGTATTATAGCAGACTTTAAACTCGCCTGATAAAGGCCTTCTTCATTTCTTGTGACTCTGAGAATCAGATTAGCGACTTGATCCTGTCCTAACAATAACATTATCGCCCTCGCATTGCTTTGATACAACCAATGTTAGATATGCGGAGAGCTGTAGATGCTACAGATGTCTGGAAAAATATTAGAGACTTGCCACCTTGTGTTTACTCTAGAAATCAGAAATCGCATTTCGGGAAGCTTCAATGTGGAAACCAAGTTCATTATCTTATCAGCAGAATGCCAGTTGCATTTTTAGTCAGCGATATTTTCACGGAGAGCAAACTCAGAGGAGGGACCCACGTTTGGTCATTGGATGGAAGAACAGGGTACAATGTGTCGCCACAGTGCTTTATTGCTCTTTTCGAGGGAGAAAAATAGGGAAAACGAAAGAGAAAAATGAAGGGAAAACGGGGGGTAGGGAGTGTGGGTTTGCGCGGCGTTGCCACAATACCACCGTTCTTAGTGGAAACGAATATGTAGCTTTATTCCGGGTGATCTTCGCTCCCAATTATGGTATGTATGGTATTCGCTTTCGAAGCATCCCAAGAAGTCTGAGCAAATTAAAGTCTGCAACTGGTGGCAATCATTCAGAGCAAGTAGTTGACCACTTCTTCTATGCCTTTGTTTTATATCTAACTTTGAAATTGCACTGTTACCCCATTTTACGTGTTCTCTGTTTACATGGGTCCCTTCCATTTATTCCGCTATTTGAGTTGTTTCCAGAAGGTTGTGATCCTTTTATACTACGTTTGCCTTAGCAACGTAATAAACATAACATAACATAAGTATAGTTGGTCCTGTTCAAGAAAAGGGGGTAGTTTCCAAAACTGTTCACCTTTCTGCACATAACGATGGTTGAAGAACTAATAGTCACGCTACATGTGCTCTTTACGTAATTCTTTTTTGCTGCTGCCACGCAAAGGGATCCCAATGCGAAAATCTACCCACCCGTTGAACCTCTACGCAGGCGTAACAATTTATAGGAATGTAGAGGAGCGTTGGTGGAGAAATTGAGGCAGACAGACAAGGCCATTTCTCGTAACGATTTCTCGCCTCTCCCTTCCTCCCTTTGCCTCCTCACATAGCCCCACACGTAGGTATACACATATAAATTTGCTAAATTGAACTCAATGTAGAAAATTAATAGCTTTGCGACCATGGCCAGGATAAACTATAAGAATTCGCCAGTGACTAAGAAGTTTCTCCAGCTTGAATAGGATCTTTGAGAAAAGCTCTGAGAGCTCCTGAGAATGAGAGCCGGAATTTTTGTGAATAATGCAATATGTCACTAACACCTTGGTCCTACTACCTCTATCAGGCACCAGACAACCTGCTCATAATACACACTCTGAAACTTGCGACGATGCCATTATTCATTTCTTGATCACGCGGAGCTACAGGACTTAGAGTGTCCCGAAATGTCAGTGAAGAAAAACAGCTTGTTAGGAATTATCGATGTCATCCCTATCAAAATCCTTGAGGCGGAAGCGAGAAGAAATTTATGCTGGTCTGTTCCCTATGCCTACTCATTTTCAAAAACCTATCCTTCTCCGGGATAAGAAATTGATTTCTGCGGGAAAATATTCATCGTAACCTCCCAAGGCCGGCGAGTAACACGAAGAACTCCGCCTCGAACGGGAATCGAACTCGCATTTGTGTTTTTCTTAACTTTCGAGACGCGCACTGCGGCGAAATAACAGCATTTAACAAAACATTAAGTGGAAACAAATCCATCACAGCCTTGATTTTGAGTAAAGGTGGATGAGGCTCAATCCTAATTATTGTTCTCATGAAGATCGTAAAAACGTAAAAGCTGTCCAATTTACTTCTAGTCAAGTATCAATCTTAACCTTGAAACATAATAAGTATCAACCAAACCTACACTAAAAAATTGACTATCCAAAGAAACTGCTATATCCGTTGTTATACCCGCCAAGACTGAGACTAGCAGTAAGACCGAACGAGTTTCCATAGCTGCTGCCAAATCCAGGAAATCCTCCTCCGAAACCGCCAGGATAGCCACCGCCAAAGCCGCCATAGCGAGGATATCCGCCTCCAAAACCACCGAACCGTCGACCATAGCCACCACCAAGGCCGCCGCCATAGCCGCCATAGCCGCCATAGCCAGGATAGCCGCCTCCAAAACCTCCATAACCAGGATAACCACCACCATAGCCGTATCGTTTCACTCGGCGTAACCTGGAATAAAGTCTTTCCAAAGATCGAGAGCTTCTCTATACTAATGGCACTTACTCAGTGGGTTTGCTAGCCTCAGTTCGCGCAGGATGAAGAATTGGAGAGGAATGAGCGAATACGAATAGTGAGCAGAGTAAACAGATGAGTATTGCCTTCATCTTCGAGTATGGAAAACTTCCTCACCTCGCTAACTGATTTTATAGTTGTGCTCACATTCGGCAAACTCGCGATCAGGCGCAGTGAGGTATATGGCGAAGTACCTTTAAGCACTAAATTACGGTAGCGAGAAAACTTGTTGACCAGTTTACCAAAAAAAACTTGCTTTGAAGCGTGTCATCAGCGTGCCACGTGATGATGACTCCACCTGGCCAATCATAAATCATAGTTTGCAATCAAAGGGCAGGGCAGGGGACATTACGTACCGAACTGAAATGAAAGAAATCAACAGGAAATTAAGAAGACTTAGGAGGATCTGCTACAGACAGGAAGGATATATCTCCCACCATATATCTCTGTTTTAGAGACATTTCAGAGAATCTTTGACAGGGAACCTTGCAATTTAGCCGACGCTCTTTTTTTTGGTGGAGCTTCTATGTAGTTTGTGATGACCTAGTATGCCTTTGAAAACTTTTTTTCGATCTTCCTCTTTAACCGAAACTATCTAACGCTTCAATAAAATTCGAATATGTTTTCAAGCAACAGCTGAGTGACAGCGCGGCCCACTTGTGAATTCTTTAGCTCAAGGATATCAACACTTAAGAGACTGTAATTAGAATATTATCTTTAGCAGCCGTAGTACAACCATAGTTTTGTACACTATTGTGTGACCAATACATCTACTCTGTTGCCCTCTACACTCGCAGTTATAAGTCGGATTTGCAGCACACCTCATGAGAACCATTACTTTCACCGAAGTTCTGTTACTCCTCCTTCCTCAGAATATAAATCAACGCTTACAGAATCAACTGAGCCCTTGGCAAGGTCCAGTAATTTCTTTGATGATTTTAAAATATACGCAAACTATTATAGTAATACAAAGAAAAAAAGGTGGCCAACTAAGCAAGCGGTCTTCCAGGAAATAAAAGGTTTCTATCGGAATTTCTTACGTTGGAACTTTGATACCATACGTGTAGCTCTTTGGAATACTATATTGCTTGGAATAAATTTTTCCATAGAGGGAACTAGGAACTCAACGATGTAGACCCTTTTGCCAACATTATAGTATGTACTTCATACAATATTTTTTGAAAACTACATTGGAATAGACATTTTGTTCAATTATTAGATAGAGTCTAAAGCATCCAAACGGACGACTAACTTGCTCGTTTTGGAGTAGAGAGATTTTCCTGAACGAATGGTGTGCACAATGATAAATATACATTGAGATCCAGACTAATAATTACTTCGTAGTCCAGGACATTGCCCGTGGATCCTGAAAAAGGCGAATGAGTACATAGAACTTGTTTAGTGAATTCTGGCTTGCTGGCCTAAACAAGTCATATCACTTGAACCTACACAATGGAGAGCGTGGCGACTGGCATTACAGGACTAGGAAAACATCGTTTTTATGAGTCAGCCTTGTTTTTATTACGGTGCGGCCAAAATGTTCGGCGTACAGTGGCAACAACTCGTTCTGAGTTGGTGACTGGACTATTTGTTCTTTACTTTTTAAAGCCAAAATAACTACAGTAAATGAAATTTGATGAACCTCAAGCGCATAATGGAACGTTTGGCAAACAAAAGTTAAAGCACCCAGTATAAAGTCATTCCACAGAGTAAGCAGAATCACAAGCCGCAACGATGAACGCAATCTTCTTCACCGGCCTATTCTGCTCGTTACTGCTCCTTTGTAGCACATCACCAGTTTCTACGTATGTCAATTATGAAGACGACAGGTTTGAAAACTTTTAATTTTCATGTATAGAAGCTTTCATCAATAATCCTTACTGCCCCTAACTAATACTTCACTTTAGGCCGCACCGTGTCAAGCGTTTCGGTGGCTTCGGTCGTTTCGGCGGTGGTGGCTATCCGGGCTTCGGCGGTGGCGGCTATCCTGGCTTCGGCGGTGGCGGCTTTCCCGGCCTCGGCGGTGGCGGCTATTCGGGCCTTGGCGGTGGCGGCTATCCGGGCTTCGGCGGTGGCGGATTCCCCGGATTCGGCAGCGGTTACGGCAACAGTTACGGACTCGGCTCACGTTACGGACTTGGCGGCTTCAACAACGGTTACTATGGCGGATTCGGATAATGACTGAAGTACTTATTATATTGATGTAATTTTGATCTCATCAATAAAGCTTTCATACATATAGTACGAACGAAGACAAGAAAAAACATTCGTAAAAAGTCACGGCTAGTTTTTTGTTGTCGTGAAGATTTGACGGTCCGGCAAATGGATGAACCATATGGACTACTTAATGACTTCGCAAAGGTGTCACATCTATAGTGCCACAAAAACCTTTAGGCTTACACCACGTCGGGAAAATTCTTCTTTTTCTCAAAGCTTTTCCGAAACCATTAAAAAAAACCTTTGCCTGCGAAGATGAACAAACTCACTACGATATAAGCCGTGAACAAGTTCTATTCCTTCCCTTTTTCCGTAGTTGCCATTGTAGCAGCTGAGAATACACTTATGCTCCTTTACATTTACGTATGGAAGTGGAATAGTACGGTGAGTATCACTTGCCAACCATGCCCTCCAACTGCGCGTCCTTGTTTATAGCGAGTGGGTGGACCAATCGAAGATTACTGTATACACGTGTCGTGGGCACCAATAGCTGGTGTGGTCGTCACAAACCGACAGAGGACACTGCTAAAAAAATTTGTTTGAGAGTCTTGTCAATGTGGTAGGACCTGCAATGGTAACGAACTATCTGTTGCTCTAACAGTTTGTGCAGGTCGATGTAGTGTAGTGTAATGGCGATTGTGCACTATCCCAACGCACGGTCGCGAGTTCGAATCCTGGATCGATATCCGCCTAGTTCATTCAAGCCATCTATCCCTCCGGGGTCGATTAACTAACTGGTACCAGACTTGTCTGGGAGGATGAAAGCACCCGTACATAGGGTGGCCAGTCATAGTATAGGTCACATACGCATTCAATTCACTACTACGATTCTGATGTTAGTCGAATGCGTGGGCGCATCCCTCACACGAGCTTGACTAACACCCCGAGACTTTATCCTTCTTATTACACAGTCTGCGAAGACTGCCCTCAACTTTGTCTGAATTTTATTCCGGCTGCCACTCACAAACACCCGAAGTAAAGGGTTCCCTCACAGCTCTTGAATACCTATTTATCCTGTAGGGCGCAATAGAAATTGCTGTTGGGTGTTGTCTCACAAGCAAACAAAACTGGGAAACTGCTGACGTCATGAAAACAGAGCCTGTAAGACGCAATTTTTTATTAACTGAAGAGACTATTTCCCTGAGTGAGTAATCGGACCTATCTTTTGACCTCAATCATCTATCAGCTTCTCTCCTCTTAGATTACTGAAAATGAGAATCACTTGCGGCCAGCCATACAAGAAGCACGCTAAAATTCGAATATTTTCAGCAAGTTGGTTAGAGTTTCTCGATAACTGTTAGTGATGTCTCTTTCTCAATGAAGAAAGTCACCGAGGTTGGTGAGAGGAAGCCCCTATGGAAGCCAGTAGGAAATGGTAAATAGCGCGCCAAAACCCATAATATTGGTCATAAAAATTACCCATGGCTGTTCAAGGCTTAAGCTTCTCGGGCGTGAACAGCTGAAGCGTTGTGAAACGCGAACTGTAGCTTATAGCGCTGAACAACGTCATTACCTTTTTCAAAACGCCCCTTTCCTTTTCAAGAACGAAGTCTATCACTGAACGGGCTGTTTGATACTTTTCTACAAAGGACATCTTAGACAGGGTCGGAACTACGACATCATGTAGGATAGGTCCTCTGATCAGAGCACCTCAAAATCGTATTGTTGAGAGGGTCCAAGTCCGCGGAAAAAGAGAGCCGATATTTGGGAAAAATTGAGCAGGACAGATTTTCTGGGCAACAGCCTTGGATTGACTTCACCTTGCAAGCGGGCACGGAAACTACTATATGGTCCAACCATTGCTGTCGTCGCGCGCCTGGTCCCAAAGAAACAGTTGCACCACAAGTTAATCAGTGACTTGTTGTTGATTTTGACAAGGAAAAGTGTGTGGTGCTTTCCCGTGAGATCCGCACCAGTGCAAAATGTGATGTGATCTGGGTAAGAGAGCCGTTGTGAGATGATGGTATTTTCGCATTGGCTTCTCCAAGCGATTGAGGAACAAAGCTCTTGTTTTGCGTTTCAAGATGACTTTCGCATTGTCATGAAATTTCGTCAGAGCGCATCGTCTTCAGATGCTCTTTTTTGCGTGAAGGTCAACATGGTGGCACAGTGAAAGGAAATCATTGCTCCTTTATGTCAACTCAGCCGCTTTGATCAAACGTTTCAAGTTGTGCTCAAAATGATATGTAAAATCGGTTTAATCTTGCAAAGATGTTACCTAGTCTGGGAAAAGTTCAGACAGCGAGAGCTGCTTGTGGCTTATTGTGGTGCCTCCTACATGACTTAGACGGAGAAGTAAAAAAAAAACTTGGACTAAATCACTTTCTCACTGCCCCTTGCAACACACTTGTCACAAACCCTGCTAAGCAGGATAGCCCAAGTGAGCGGCTCCTCAAAAGTATTAGGGTGTCTGGAAAGTTTTGAGAAAATTTTGGTTTCTCAACTCTGGAAGCGTTGCTCGCGAACACGCTAAAGAAGGACTGTAGGTTCGATAGCAGGGAAAGCGGTATTATTGATATTTAGATTAATACTGTAGTTGATAGGTATTCGACGTGGTCGTTCGAAGAAAGTAATCGTCGACCGAATGGTATGCCATCGATGCGACTACCCGAGCCTTCCGCATCACCATTGCGAACTAGTCGCTTCGACACTCAAGCTCAGAATGAGTTGTGGTGGCTGATCGGCAGCAGTGACCCTCTCTAGTTACCTACCATAAATGGCACGATCGCTTCTTCTAAGAAAAGATTTGCTTCGACGAAGTTCGTCCACATGTCCCCAAGTACCGACAACACTGTTTTGGTCTTCCGTCACAGCAATTCTCCTCAAAATGGCACGAAATATAAAAGACGATCTCTTCTCCCAATCCATGGTCAAGGTGGTTCTACGCAAAAGCCACTTTCAAAGCATGACTCTTTGAAAATATCGCACACTCCTTGACTGAGCAGAGCGTCGAGTGCCAGACAATGTGGGTTGAAAGCTCCTCGACTGTAAGCAATGACGACATCAACCACCTTCATCATTGCTCTGGACAAAAAGTAGTTGTCATATGAGATCCACGCAGTAAATCGCACTGCCTACCAGCAGACGTAAGTTCACTGCTCGCTAATAAGCGAGGGGTTCACGCCAAGATAGACATGAGCTCATTCTTCTTCTGCTCAACCGGGTTCTCAGTTAGGAGATGCTATATGAGTGTTCTGGAGTGTACGCAAGAGCCTTCATTAACGACTGAGATGCATGACGTTTCGAGGTCCCCCTTCACACCGATTACAAGAAAATTTTCGGTTGTGATGGATAATGCTCGACCACCTCACGCGAGGACATCGACAGATGTGCTGGAAAAACTAGGCACAACATGACTACCCCGCTCTCCACATATTCACTTGACCTCAACCCATATGACTGCTATACTTTCAGAAGCCTATAGACCGGGACAAGGCAGTAGGAACGGTTTTCTGTACTGTTCGCTGCACGCGGCTGTCACGAACCATTCTTTCGCCGTTACTACCGTTACTTCGTGCAGCTCAACCGATATGCGATCCTTATTTTAGTCATGATTCTACTGCTAATTCCTTTAGTCCTGTACTTCTTACCTGCTGTTGCTTTCTGCTATACATATTACTTCTCGCGCGACGTCCCTCTCGCCGCGACGCGACAATTACGTTCCTACTGTACTACATCCCTATAGACCTGCTCTAACAGGAAGAAATTCAACAACCGTGAGGAAGTCAAGTAGGTAATATACGAATGGATAGCGTCGCGCCTCTCTTCATTTTGGTGGAATGGCATCGGTGCCCTGACCGATTGATAGGGAGACTTCGTGCCTAGGAGGAGCTACTATTTTGAGCTCTGATCTAAGTTTATTGCTGTAGGTGTTTTTTAATGAAAAACCCCACAAATTTTTCTCAAAACTTTCCGAACACCCTAATGAAAACGTTCCTTCTAGAGGAATTTTCTTGGCCGATGGACCTGCTCGTTTCGTGGTTAACAGATTTCACGCTGAACGAATGCTATGCACAGTGATAAATCTACATTAAGATCCAGTCGAACAATTACTCTGTAGTTCAAGTCATGGCCAGCGAATTCTGAAAAAGGCGAACGGGTACATCGAACTTGTTTAGTGAATTTCTGCTTACTGGCCTAAACAAGTCATTTCACTTCAACCTACACAGTGCACAGCGTGGCTACCTGCAATACAAGACTGGGAAAACATCACTTTTTGTGAGTCAGCCTTGTTTACATCACAGTACGACCGATACGTTCAGCGTACAGCGCCAGCAACTCGTTCTGAGGTGGTGAATGGGCTACTAGTACTTCATTTTAATTCTAGAATATAACTAACACCTTTTAAAGGATTGTGGATTCTATTAGTTCTATTAGAGGCATTGCTGATGATCATGTTTCTATTTTCATCATCTTGAGGTTGTTTGAGCTAATAAAACCCAGATCAAAAGTTCTGTCAACTGTCTGAAGGACCCTCCTGTCAATATGGTAACAGAATCTTGGAGACAGCGTAGATGAAAACAGCATCAAAACTCTCGTTTTCTCGATCGATAGCGGGTAGTCCTATTTCTTAGACCATTTACTTACAACACCAATGGCTCTTTGAAGAAGCCACAGTCTGCATTAGTTTGAATAACCTTATAAATTTTAAGGTCATCCACTAAGACCTTACACTCCCCTCCGAGGGGTATAATCAACGAACTAAGCTCAAAAGTATATATGCTGCAAAGTAACGGCGAGAGTACGCCACCTTGCGGAATGCCAATTGATGCCCTTTGAATAGAAAAAAGAATCATTGATGTGGAACTGAACGGTACGATCTAATGTGAAATTCACGTAACCACATCTAAAGCAGACCCTTAACCTCTACACTTTCTAGCTTGGTGAAGAGTTTGTCATAGGGCACACTTTCGAATGCCTTCATGATGTCAAAGTAGATAATGTGAACTTCTTTCTTTCGATCAATCCCTAAGGTACAATCAGTGAGAGCTTCGAGTAGCTGAGCTATCCTTGACTTATGTTTGACAAAGCCATGCTGATTTGAGCTGATGACACCATGCTGGTCCAAGTGCTCCAATTTTGTGTTTCCCAACAATTTCTCGAGCAACCTAGCAGTGATAGAAGTGATACTAATCGGCCTATAATTACTTACAACATCATGTGGCTGGTTCTTTGGTATCGCATTTATATACGAATGCTTCCAAATGCATGAAACTTTGCCTCTGGGAGTGAATTCACCCATTCCAGGCTTTCAATCACCTCAAGCAATTTGCTTCAATTTCACCCCCACTGCTGCTGAAGGTAACTGCTGAAGAAAAAGAACTTCCATCTGCACGAGAAGACCGAAATTCGAATAGAAAACGGAATTTCTTTATCCCTGACAAAAATATTACAAAATACAATTTCATTTCAAAGTTACGCCTCGCGTTTCTTTGGCTGGATTCGAGTAAGCACATACTAGCTACTTCTGCTCATATTCTTCTAAAATCCGATTCTAAAAACAACTGAAAGCACTTCAGAAAACAAAATATGACGCACGATAAACTACGACAATATATCACATCACAAAGAACCCCAGAAAACTGGATTCCATAGGATAGGAAGCTTACGCAAAAGTGGAGAGCTCAAGATTTTACAAATCAAAACAATATGGGCGAAGGCACAGCCTCTAGGCTCATCAGTTGCCTTTGAACAATGTTGCAGATCAGATATATGTACATAGGAAACTGCACATTATGCGATCAATGCCTACCAGCAGAGGTATGTTAGCGGAGACTGAGATTACTTATGTCTTTCCGTATCCTTCCGGTGGCTGTATCTTCGAGAAGAGTGGCACTGTCTTGGAGTCGATGTCGTAAATCCTACAAGCAACTCTTCATAAGGTGAGAGGGATGTTTCTTACACAATGAAGTTTAGCAATCTACATTATGATGGCATGTGAGGCTATCACCCCTTCTAGGATAGGACTAGGAGTCCCTTAGAAGCACACTTCACGATAATTTTGGGGAATCCAGATTATGAGGAAAAATGGAAGATAATGTGGAGAACAGCGCGATGAAGGTGAAGAAAGTGCTCGGATCGATGTTCTCTATGTGACAAAAGGCTGCGAAAAAAATGGTCAATAAAGGGGCTGGAGAGAATGAGACCAGAAAAATGAAGAACGGGTATTTGCACGAGCTGGACAATGTGTGTTATTGCGTACGTTTGGATCCTGGTGTGAATAGCTGACTACAGTAAGCAAAAGTGCTCTTTAAAAATCGTTCACTCATAAGCATAGGGTAACAAAAACAATAATAACAGCAAAAACCCACACCTTTTTCGACCTCTTGAGTCAGAAAATTAGACAAGAGACCGCAGCAGCAAAACGAATGACAGAGAATAATGGAATAGGAAAGACTTTGCCTCACCACTCGGCGATCAGCTGAATAAGTGCTGAATGAGTGGGCCCTGAAGCGATTATTGCAGTCTGTATCGCCTCGACACTCGTCTGACACATCAACGGCCGATGGGCGTGGATCCGGGCTACCGCTAATGGAGCTCCCTTTATGCCAAGCCGTTGAGTTTTTGTACCCGATAGCGTCTTTTCTGCTAGCTTTGGAAGACACGTGGAATCCTAGGGGAGAACTCAGAAACCATTTTTTCATCGAAGATTGCAATCCCTATCGCCTCGACACCCGTCTGAAGTGACATCGATCGAGGGGCGGAAAGTCCGGGCGATCCGGTAAAGGAGCTTTCACTATGCTCTAGCTGTTGAGTTTTGGCACTCGACAGCGTCCTTCCTATAACCCTTGAAGGCCACTGGGTATTCCTAGTGGGAGAACTCTGAAACCATTGTTATCGTGAACTGTGCCTTTAAGTGTAACGGTGGCTACGTGCATGACAAGTTTCGTCGCTGTGACCCCATTTTCCTGCGGTAACGCAACGAGCACAAAAGGCGCAGTAAGCGAGCGAGAACGGCGCTGCTGCAGCGATGAATAGCCTTAACACAACTGCGTCCATAATGACCACGACTTCTCAGAAACACGTGCGATAAAGACGAGAAAAGTTTGGAATAAAACTATTGAGAACATACGTCGTTAGACAATTTCGATAAATGTGATAAAAGCAGAGCACTGAGTGTGATCGACAGACACATATCTGACTATTCAAAGGACCCCGTTTCATTTGAGCCGTCGTGAAAGTCCGAGCGTTCGCTGTTAAAGGATCTGAGTGTAGCGATGACAGAAAAAGCAGAAAACAAAACTAACAGTGAAAATGGACTATGAAAGAACAGAGGGAAAGACCAGAATCCAAAAAAGGAAAACAAATCGCTGCAGTAATAGTTTATCGGCGATATGAATAATGAAACGCACCACATCGGTGAATTCGTAGGGATGAGTCGTGTAGTGTCGGATTGGAGCTCGAATAGGTTTCAACTTCGCACCTGGCTTGACAACCATGTGATTGATCACATCGGAAAGCGAAATGATTCCCTGAATGAGTGCAAAGACTTTTCTATAACTACAAAACTACCACAGCAATTCGCAAAAACGATCATATCATATAAGCACATGAGAACAGCTCAATGGCTTTTTTCATGCCTCGAAGTGCGTGCCGGCACGCACGTCGAAGTATGAAAGCAGCCAATGGCTGCTTTCATAGTCCACGATTTAGCCCGCGAACGACGACCGATCGAGCGATTGCGGCGGCGCTTGTCCGCGGTATCGTCTAAGATTCAGTTATAAACAAGGGGCAAGCGCCGCTGCAATCGCTCTATCTCGCTCGATCGGTCGTTCGTTCGCGGGCCATATCGCGTACTATGAAAGCAGTCAATCATGGGATCAGAGTAAAGGTGAGGGAAAAAATTGGACAAAATATCGGGAAAATATAACACAGAATGACATACTGAAGTTTCCGCGTAGAGAAAAAAGTTAGTCTCTCATGAGAAAAGAGCCAAGTGAAGAAAACCCCGATAAGCTTATTATGTTATGATGTAATACAAAATACATACAGATACCCAAATAGGGGACCATATATCAATGCTACGAGAGCATCCCGACCTCTTCTCGAGGTGCGCAATATAGTGAAATAAAGGAAGAATTTCGAACAGAAACACCTACCTCTATAGCGCCTGTTTCGTTGACTGCACATAAACGATGGACATTCCGCTCTACGAGAATAGTAATAGCTTTCCATAGCGTATCCGTATCCCTTACTGACACTACCCGATCTTTACCATTCTATAAGTAAAACCACTAAAAGCCCAGCTAAAACACAGAACAAAAAAGGAAACTACCCTGCCCAAGTTCTTGAACTTGAGCGCCTGTTCAACGCTAACATCCATGATGTCGGCACTTTCTTCTAAAGCGATTCCCACTGCGTCGAATCGCGAATACATATCGACGACCCTACAATATCAGGGTTGGAACTATAAAGCAACTTCACAGCAGGAACAACTAACTTGAAAGTGTCTCGCTGAACAACTGGTACACCCGAAACACCTTTGTTCAGGAGAATGTCAAGGCAATCTGTCAAAGGAGTGTCTGGGAAGACCTAGAAATGCAAGCCCCAATTGCACAAGTAGAAAAACCAAATAAAATAAAGGACTACACTCTGAAATGTAACCTATGAATCCGGAATATTGCGGTCTTAATATCAACAACGAACACAGATGGGCTTTTCAACTTACCACTCGGATTCCGACCCAGGAGCCAACATTCAAATCCTTGGCAGTGCGAATGTGGTAATCAGGTTGAGAAAACTGTTGCCCCTAAACAACAACGTGACAAAATGAAGAATAGTGATAATGGCTAATATGGTATAATTTTTGAGTAGGTTCTTTCCAAGAATACAGCCCGAATCCTCTTTAAAAGACGAAAACACCGCGGCAAAAAAAACTGGGGAAGGAAAGTAGCAATACAAGGAAAACAGGGAATTTCGAAAACGTACAAAGCACCAAAGGAACTTGAGTAGTCGTTTGTGAGTAAGGATGAACAGAGGACTACCAGATTCCGGATCGAGAACTGGTAGACGATGTATGTGATGCTGAGCGAGTAATCTAGCAGCCTCCAACAAACTTAACCGAAGCAGTTAATGGATATCCTTGAAGCGGATCAACATAGTAAGTTAGGGCATACCTGTTATTAGCATTAATGTACACTAACTCCTTAAGCTTTCCTTCTTTTTGCACAAGTTCTGAAAGATTGTTGACATAATAGAGAATTCAAAAAACGGCTTCAATATTAATAAACACACCTCTATACGCCTTTATAGACAGCTTTCCGAGATCTTGTTTACCTTCCACCAGTGCATCTGTCTGTTCTTGTTCTCTAAAAACAAATAGTGTTATGGATGAAAATGCTGATCAAAAACTGTTGCAGTTACCTGCGCAACCTGAGTACAACCCGTATAAAATCTGTGACTGAAAGAATGCCGGTAATTAATCCACCAAGTTCGCCATTTGATAACAGGACATGCCGAGTGTCTGATAAAGAAGTAAGCAGACAATTGAACTGATTTCCAGCGAGTACATCTACTGTCCAGCCAAAACCTAGCTCATAACGTTCACATGAGCTTTGCTAAGAAGTATCACATAATTAGAGGCACTGATCTGGGCGAAATTTGAGAAATCCGATCCATAGCTAAATTTGTCCTGTTCCAGCTTTTGAAATGAAAGTCCAAAGGACAAAAAATAACCCATTAACTTTCGTTATACGCCTTCCAACGAGATCAGAGGATGACCAGAGCTGTCTTTTGCGCTGTATATGAAAATAATGTTGTAGCTACGATAAGCCTGCTCTATCAAGTTAACTAGCTATTTATTTCCCTCTTTCTCAAGTTGTTCGAAGTTACTTGTAGAATTAATTGGTAAAGGACATATCAAGGAGGAAAATATGCGTTCTAACCCTACATTTCGAGCTTTCAGACAATAAAGAAAGGTGAGCTGAGAGTTGAAGACAACTATGCTCAGAAAAGGGTAGTGAAAAACTGATTAGTTTTCTACTCCCAGTGTCTATAATGAGAGTGATTTCTGTATAAGTTAACTTAACAAAACACTGCCACTAGAAAAGCCCATACAACCAAAATAAAACTGAAAATACAATCCATTTCAAATATCCAACAGCTGCAACATAAAAATTGTGCCGCTGAATTATAATCTTGATCATATTAACCAAACCTTTAAATTGAGGTGTTTTCAAACAAAAAAGAGAAAACAGCAAGAACTGGTAGATTTCATTTTGAGTAGGAGGGGAGCAAGCTTAGCCACAGAATTATGTGAATTCCGTGCAAAAAAAAAGACTTGTGTAATGAATTAGTCGACAAAAACCCTACTACGTACCCGCACCTTGGTACTTAAAAAGAAAAGAAAAGCATGAATCACATACTTTGATAGACAAGTCCATTAAAAGCTTTCCATAACACCAGTTCGGTATCGAATATAACCATTTTACTCGAGGTTGGCATAGCTTCATAGCACTGATTCATTTGTAGAAGTCGAGCATAGGAATCTGGTTCATTGTGGAGTACCTGTTATGAGAACGCGTGCAAAAATGTAAAAAGTGTTTTCAGTAAACTTTGTCCAGTTATTGGCACCGCCTTCGAGTAAGCAGTGAGCGTGAAGTAGAGGAAAATAGCGAGCAATTAAAAACCTCCCTCATTTCATTCTGCAAGTAGGATTGAACAACTAATCTGGAAAATCAAATATTCATAAATGAGTACCTCACTGATAGATCGCTCTCTGACACTGTAAGTATGAGCGTGACCCAATGGTGGACGCATAGGAGATCGTAATGACTGAGAATGAGGCCCTATTGTTGCATGGGAACGTAGCGGCGATACGGATTCGGAGTGTGACATTCTGTCCCCTGATAGGAGTACAATCACATAATCGAATTGAAATCAATCAATACTCGCCGTAGGAGATATAACAAACGAGCCACCAGGAAGCGATGCATTCACGATAGCGCTCCGCAAAGAAGGATTTAGTCGTCCAATGAATGTATTATACTACACACCCCACGGTCGCGGATTCGAATCTTGGATCAATATCCGTCCAGGGCAATCAAGTTTCCCATCCCCTGGGGTCGCTTCAATGTTACCAGACTTGCCTGGGAGGATAAAAGCACTGACTTGTACATCGGCTAGTCACCGCAAGTCATTGTATAGGCCACAATCGCATCCAATACGTCACTACGATTCTGAATGGAAGTCGAATGCGTGGGCGCATTCCTCACACGGATTGGCTAACGCCTCAAGACCTTGTAATTTTTATCATACAGTTTGCGAAGACTGCCATCAACTTCGTCTGGATTCATATCAGCCCCCTCAAAAACACCCGAAGCAAAAAGTTCCGTACTGCTCTCGAATACGTATTTATCCTGTAGCGGCACAATAGAAATTGCTGTTTTAGGTGTCGTCTCACAAGGAGACAAAACTGGAAAACTGTCACAGGCACAGTTCACGAGAGTTTTCTGGTACCCGGTTTTTGACGGAAAATGAAAGATGTAGTCTAGAATAGTGCGAAAACAACGAAAAAAAGCGCAAACATTGACGTATAACAAGAAATACAGAGGTCCAAAAAAGTAGTAGAATGGGAGTTTGGACAAGTTTCTGGGTGAAAAAACGGCGGTGATGGAAGTGTCCGGGCAAGTAGACGAAGGCGACGCAATGTCTGCAATTGCAAACAACACACCCGAGCGGCGATCACTGGGAACAAGGGGCGTAGGCTGCAGAACGTGTTTATTTGGTGGAATAATAATAGCAGTTTACATAATATTCCTGCGCGCGCATGTTTGAATGCGTTTACCATTGGAGCACTTTAGCCTTGTAGTAGCTCATTGCTTTAACCTTGCAAAAGGCTTCCACGTTGCCGATTCTACTACTAGCCTGTTCCTTTCACCTTGTTGTTCCTCTGCTCATCACTTACGGTCTGGCCTCCACATCTTATGCTTCTCCGATCCTCTTTGCGCTAGTAAATCTGTGACTATTGTTACTGCGAGGTACAATGTTGTAGGTAAGCAGTCACTGTACAGACCCTCTTCTCAAGATTTATAGTTGTTGTCGTGAGCATGCAGCGTCACGACCCTCGCGTAAATTCAGGAGGGGAATGAAATCTTAATTCTATCAGAACTCAATTTTACTTCTTGTCTTTTATTCAGACTCATGCCTAGTAATGTTCACTGCGCATTCACTTTTGGTACCATTCACTTCATGCAAACGCAGTTAAGATAAAGTGGGCTTGATTTTGAGAATGGACCTATTGTCTTCCCCTTCATTAAAATTCGTGTGCGTGCACCTAAAAAATACCACTGTTCTGGTTAGACCGGGAAGTACGCCGTCAAACCAGTGCTGAGAGCGGAGAATGCGTTTTGTGATTTTTGAGCTGTCTTCAGTAATTTTGATGTGAAGCTCCTATTGATTCAAAGTTCGCAGGGCGTTATGCTCTGCTGAACGTCTTTGGTTACAAGCGCAACGCTCTCCAATCTCGAGAGTACTGAAAGAGTGCATCCGAAAACTATGAAACCATAGCGCTGAAGTACCAACATTCGCGTGTAACCTTGTCATTTTGGTTATTCTACTATGGAATAAAGCTAAGTTAAGAATCTGATCAATTAATCCGCAAATCGAAATTAACGGCTACCAATTGGTTGGAACTGATAAGGCAAAGTTGGCACCCTTGCAATACCATTAGCGCTATCACTAACACTTCCAGCTATCCTTTCAGCCTCCTCCTAATTGTTGCTACCCGCTCTGAAGAAGTTTGCTACCCGCTCTGAAGAAGTATCTCATGTACTCTTAATAATACTCATGGGAATTCTCGCGGATGGGGAGATAGGCAGGCAAATCTGCAAACTATCAGGTAGACAAACAAATCGACACAAGGTAACTGTTACATGCTTAGAATGACAGGAGGATACTATTAGTGGATTAAAAACCGGTATCACTAATTTCAGAAAGGATTTCAGAGAAGCTTTTGTTTCACTAATATGACTCGTGAAGAATGAAATGAAATCACCCATAGTATATTTTTAAGTTGCGGAGAATTTAGTTGTAAATTTCGTCTCCCTCTCCAAAACCATACTAGGGTCATGACGCTATACGCTCATGACAAGAGGTGTGAAGCCCAAGAGGAGGACCTACAAAAAATTCGATTACCTACAGCAGTATCCGTTGCAGAGCTACAACTCTGAGATTCGAAAAGCAGTAAAAATCAGAAAGTAGGCAGCAAGCGGGGAAGGTAGAATGTGGTATCCAATCCCCGAGTAGTAAGAACAGAAGAATAATCAGTGAGAATGGACGCGATCGAGAATAACAGGAGGATTCCAACTGCTGAGCAGCGCGCCCCGATTAGTTGCATTCATATGCCCACACGCGGGAAAATTCTTAAACTGCAGAACCTTTCACTAAACAAACGCGTTCGTAGGATGCATGCAAAAAATAATTTAAAATGGCTCAGCATACTTCAGTACAATGTGTAGGAGCGTTTTTGGCATTTAACAGGAACAATGCGAAGACATCGTGCCGAAGAAATTGCTGCCAACAAAAAATCTAAAATAATCACAATAGAAACATTCGAAATCACAGCATTAGTTAACAAAAGAAGGACTAACAGGCAAAATGACTCACCTTTTCAATCCTTGTACGGTAGGAACTTAGAAGAATAACAGTAACAGCGAAAAGAATGAGAAAGAATCGTAGAACAGTAGTAAAATAACGCCTTATCAACGGGCGATCAGCTTATTTCGTGGTGAACGGTGGATCGTGATGCGAATAATTGCAATTTGTATCGCCTCTGCATGTCGTCTGGCGTGACACCGGTCGAAGGGCGGGAAATCCGGGCGAGCCGGTAACGGGACTCTACTGATGTATCTTCCTAACTGAAGAATGTCAGCCAAGTTGGTGAGTGGGTGCATTGATAGTCAAAATTACCTACAACAGGTCATCATCAAGCTTCTCGAAAGTGAGCACCTGAAAGGATGTGAAATTTGGTTTATAGCTTGTCAACAAAGCGCCGAACAAAATTTTGTCAGAGCGTATTGTCCTCAGATGCTTTTTTTTCGCGTGAAGGTCAACATGGAGGCACATTGAGAGGAAGGCATTGTTACTTTCTATAAACGCAGCCTTGGATTAAACGTGTGCTCAAAATGATATGTAAAATCAGTTTAATATTGCAAAGTTGTTACCTAGTCTGGAGAAAATTTAACAGTGAGAGCTGCTTGTGGTTAATTATGGTGCCCCTACATGACTTAAACGAAGAAGCGAAAAACAACTTGAACTAAATTACTTGATTCTCACTGCCCCTCGCACCCTTTCTGCAACAGACTTGTCACAGATCCTGCTGAGTAGGATGGCCTAAGTAAGAGTTTTCTCAAAAAGTATTAGGGTTCTGGAAAGTTTTGAGAAAATTTGGTTTCTCAACTTTGAAAACATGCTACTCGCGAACGGGCTAAAGAAGGACTATGAGTCCGATAGCAGGGAAAGAGCCTTATTGATTGATAGGTATTCGACGTGGTCATTCGAAGAAAGTAATCGTCGACCGAACGGTGAGCCATCAATACGACTACTCGAACCTTCTGCTTCACCACTGCAGACTGAGAGAATGAGTTATGGTGACTGATTGGCAGCAGTGACCCTCTCTTGTCACCTATCATGAATGGCACAATCGCTTCCTCTGAGAAAAGATTAGCCTCGACGAAGATTGTCTAAGCGAGCGTCCTCAAATCCGGACGCTGTTCTGGCCTCCCGTCGGAGCAATCCTGCTCAAAGTATCAGAATTTGGGTAAAAGACAATCTCTGCTCCCCAATCCATCGTCAAGACGTTCTACGCAAGGGTCACTTTCAAAGCATGACTCATTGATCATTGAAAATATCGCACTTCCCTTGACTGAGCACAGCGTCGAGTGCAGTCAGTGTGGGCTGAAAGCTCCTCGACTGTGAGCAACGACGACATCAACCACCTTCATTATTGCTCAGGACAAAAAGTAGTTGTCATATAAGAATCCACACCGGAAATCGCAGTGCCTACCGGCAGACGTAAGTTCACTGCTCGCTAATAAGCGAGACGTTCACGCCAAGAAAGACATGAGCTCATCCTTCATCTGCTCAAACGGGTGTTCTACTAGTAGATACCACAGAGTGTTCTGGGGTGAGCGCAAGATCATCCTTTATCGTCTGAGAGACATGGTGTTCCAAGCCCCCATTTCGCACCGATTACAAGGAAACTTTCGATTGTGACGTATTATGCTCGACCACCCCACGCGAGGGCATCGCAGATGTGCTGGAAGAACCTGGTACAATCTGAATACCCCGTTCTCTACTTGTCCCACCTGATCTCAACGCATATGACTGCCATACTTTCAGAAGCCTAAAGACCTGCTCTTAGGGGAAAAATTCAACAATCGTGAGGAAGTCAAGTAGGCAGCATACGAATGGAAAGCGCTCTCTTCATTTTGGTGGAATGGCATCAGTGCCCTGACCGATCGATGGGGAGACATTGTGGCTGAGAAGGGCTACTATTTTGAACGCTAACCTAAGTTTATTGCTGTAGGTATTTTTTAATGAAAAATCCGACAAATTTTTTCTCAAAACTTTCCCAACACCCCAATGAAAACGTCCCTGTTAGAAGCATTTTCACAGCCGATGGACCTGCTCGTTTCGTGGTTAAGAGATTTCACGCTGAATTTCACGCTACATTAAGATCCAGTCTAACAATAATTTCACAGTTCAGGACATAGCCAGCGAAGTCTGAAAAAGGCGAACGAGTACATAGAACTTGTTTAGTGAATTTCTGCTTGCTGGCCTAAACAAGTTATTTTACTTCAACCTACCAAGTGCACAGCGTGGCTACCTGCAATACAAGACTGGGAAAACATCACTTTTTGTGAGTCAGTCTTGTTTCCATCACAGTACGACCGAAACGTTCGGCGTACAGTTGCAACAACTAGTTCTGAGCTGGTGACTGGACCACTTGTTCTTTACTATTCAAAGCGAAAATAACTACAGTAGATGAAGTTTGATGAACCTTGAGCGCTTAATGGAAAGTTTGTCAAACAAAAGGTAAAGCGCCCAGTATAAAATCATTCTACACAGCAAGCAGAAACAAAAGCCGCAACGATGAACTCAATCCTCTTCACTGGCCTATTCTGCTCGTTACTGCTCCTTTGTCGCACATCACCAATTTCTCCTTATGTCAATTATGAAGATGACAGGTTTGAGAATTTTCTTCTTTCCCTAATGAAGCTTTCACTAATAATTATCATTGCTCCTGAAATAGTACTTCATTCTAGGCCGCACCGTGTCAAGCGTTTCGGCGGTTTCGGCGGCTATCCGGGCTTCGGCGGTTTCGGATACCCTGGATTCGGCAGCAGTTACGGCAACAGCTACGGACTCAGCTCAAGTTACAGCCTTGGAGGGTTTAACAACGGTTACTCCAGTTTTTTCGGCTAATGACTGAAGTATTCATTATATTGATGAATGATTGTGATCTCTTCAATAAATTTTTCTTACAGTGCGGAAACAGGCAAGAAAAAACGTTCGTAAAATGTCACGGCCAATTTTTTTGTTGTCGTAAAGACTTGACGGTCCAGTGAGGAGTGATGAACCATATGGATGATTTAGTGACTTAGAAATGGAGGCACATCTGCATAGCATTCCAGGCGAATCTGCTTCAAAAACTTTTACGCTTAAACCACGTCAGAGAAAATACTCCATTCTTCCAAAGCTTTTCCGAAGGCAATAGGCCTGCCTGCGAAGATAGTTCTATCCCTTCTCCTTCTCCGTAGTCGCCATGTAAGGTTTGCAAAGATATTCAGCGGCCTTTACTTTTACGTATCGAAGTGGAGTAGTAGGATGAGTATCATACACCAACCATGTCCTCCAACTGCGCGACTTTGCTTATAGCGAGTGGGCGGACCAATCGAGCCGTACTGTAGACACGCGTCGTGGGCACCAATGGCTGGCGTGGTCGTCACAAATCAACAGCGAGGAGATGGCTAAGAAAATTTGTCTGAGTTACTTACAAATGGGCTAGGGCCTGACGAATTATCTGTGGCATACAGTTTGGGCGGAGGCAGTGTACGTGGTGGCAAGTGACGCACTATCTCACGAGCACGGTCAGAGGTTCAAATCCAGATTCGATATTCGCTTAGGCCATCCAAGTCCTCCATTCCTCCGGGGTCGATTAATTGGTACCAGAATCGCCTGGAATGCACACTTTGGTTAATCACGTTGTGGCGGCTGGTCGGTTTTCCTCCAACCCTCCACCAACCTCCCCTCCCTTAACCCAATGTCATCTGCCAGAAGTGTCCGACTATCGCTAAACCTCATGTCTGTCAATATTAAGCGCCTTACTATTGGAATGATCGATGCGCGATCCCTTTCAACTACTGCACTTCAATTTGAGCTCGGAATCGCTATGGAAAAGACCAGATGCGATACACTTGGAGTAACAGAGCTAAGAATGAAAAGCAACGGCAGCTACATCCTGCTACCAGGTAAAGTCTTACTTCATTCTGCTAGTGGCACTGCGCATTGTGGTGCAAGCTTTGTTGTGGAACAGTCCTTGGCCTACATGGTCTACTCCGACGGGCTGGCCGAAAACGACGGGCTGGCCACTCTCCCTCAACCGCTCTTCATTGAAAATCTTTCTTATACTCTGTCACATGCCGCCCTGTTCATGGACGACGACAACTACGTGAACCGGAAGAGAAGAAGGCACCCACTCATTGGCTCGACGATTTGATGAGGAAGATCGGGCAGAACTGAAGGAGGATAACGAATGAGGAATTCAGACAAGCCTTGATACGCCATGATACGGCATTCGAATGTGAGTTGGTTCCGTAATAAAACTGATCAAACTTGTCTGCACTGACTTGAGCATCAGCAGGCCGCCGCAAGTAATAACACGGCCACATACGCATTCAGTACGCCATTATGATCTGAATGGAAGTCGAATGCGTGAGCGCATCCCTCAGACTAGATACCGTGACGCACCAAGACTTTACCATTTTTATCAGACAGTTTGCGAAGACTGCCATGAACGTTATTTGGATTTATACCAGCTCTCTCTCTCCCCTTTGCCCCTCCCTTACCCCCTTCAAAACACTCAAAGTGAATCGTTCATCAGATCTCTGTAGTACCTATATATCCTGTGGGGGCACAATAGAAATCGCTGTTAGGTGCTATCTAGCAATGAAACAAAACTGGAAAACTGTTCAAATTCTTAGTGCAGAGCTAGTTAGACGCAATTTTTTATCAAAAACGAGGATATTTCCCTAGATTAGTGAGGTGTACCGTCTTTGAACCACAGCCATATATCAGCTTCGTTTCCTTGAGTTTACTGAAAACAATGGTCAAAGAGGGTAAAGATCCGTCTCAGCCAGCCGTAGAAGAGGCACGCCGAAAATTTTCAGCGTGGTATTTATGTTCCTTGGTACTTTCGGTGATGTCTCTTTTCACCGAAAAACCGTGTTTGTGAGAGGGTGCCAGTCCATTCGAGTAATAAATGGTAAACACCGGACTAAGGGCCCCATATGGTACATTGGTCGTCAATATCGCCCACGGCTGGTGAATGTTGAGCTTCTCGGGCGGAAACAGCTGAAGCGTTATGATATTCGAACAGTAACTTGTCAACGTAGCGCTGAACGACATCATTACCGTTTCAGTGAATTTGGCTCGCTGGCCTAAACCAGTCATATCACTTCTACCTACGCACTGCAAAGCTTAGCGACCTGCATGCAAGACTGGAAAAACATCACTTTTTATGAATCAACCCTGTTTTCATTACAGTACGACCAAAACGTTCGGCGTACAGTGGCAACAACTTGTTCTGAGCTGGTGACTGGACTACTAGTTCTTCATTTTGCAAAGCCAAAATAACTGCAGTAGATGAAATTTGCTCAACCTCAAGCGCTTAATGAGACGTTTGCCAAACAAAGGGTGAAGCACTCAGTATAAAATCATTCCACGCGGTAAGCAGGAACACAACCAGCAAAGATGAACGCAATTCTCGTTACCGGCCTATTTTGCTCGTTCTTGCTCCTTTGTAGCGCCTCACCGATTTCTCCCTACGTCAATTATGAGGATGACAGGTTTGAAACCTTTTATTTTCTTGTACAGAAGCTTTCATCAACAATTATCACTGTTCCTAAGACAGTACTTCGTTTTAGGCCACACCGTGTCAAACGTTGGGGCGGCTTTGGCGGGTTCGGCTATCCAGGCTTCGGCGGTTTCGGATTCCCTGGATTCGGCAGCAGTTACGGCAACAGTTACGGGCTCTATTCAAGTTACAGCCTTGGCGGCTTTAACAACGGCTATTCCAGTTTTTTTGGCTAATGACTGAAGTATTTATGCAGTTGACTTCGATATTCCCAATAAATTTTACTAATATGTAGTATGCAGACAGACAAGAAAATACTACTGTGAAACGCCACGACAAATTTCTTGGCTATCGTGAAGATTTGACAGTCCGGTCAAACAGAATCCATAACACGGATGAGTTAATGACTTACAAAGGGACATCTATTAAACTCTCCCTTGGGCTACAGAA